CCCAACGCCACCGTGCCAGCCGAGCCCTACGTGCCGCAGCAGCCGCCCTTCCGCCCGCTGGAGCCCTACGGGGCTCCTCGCTCTGACCCCTACGCACCCACCAGGAGCCTTGAGGTGCCGCAAGCGCTGCCCGAGAGCGCGGTCGCCGGCCAGGGCCGCCTCAGTGTGGGCAGCATCTACCGGCCCAGCCCCAACGGACGGGGTGAGGGCGTGTGGCGGAAGCGTGGTGCCCCCCGCGGCTGACTGGCCTCCCTGTGGTGCCGCGTGGCCACGGGAGCTGCCGGCGCGGGCTGTGGGGACGATGTGGGGAAGGGGCGCTGGGCACAAGGGAGCTCCTGGGGGACGGGGCTGCTGGAGACCCTGCTCCATCAGGAGCAATGGTGCAGGTGGTGGGGAAGAGGGAGCAGAGGCAGAGGCGCACAGTGCCTCCAGGCTGTGGCGCTGGAGTGGTTGTATGGGGACCCTGCACTGTGGGGTGGATGGGCACCATGTGCTGGTGTTGCCACGTGTCCCTGAGGAGGGTCCCGCGCCGCAGGGAACGTTCTGCGCCGCCTCGTTGGGCACCGGGAACGCTCGGGCGCGCTTGCGGGGTGCGTCCATGCTGCGTCACTCTCTTCGCCCTGTGCTGGCCCCCATGAAGCAACCCCGGCGCTCAGAGCAGCGCAGCAAGGGTCGCAGCGGGGACAGCCACCCGTTCACATCCCACTGACCCCAAAAGCGATGAGACCCTGTGGCTTTTGGCTGAGGCTGGTGCAAAGTTTTTTGCTCTGTGTTGAAATGTGAGGCAAGACTTGAGGACGTGAGCAGCAGCGGCCCTGGGGATCTGTTTCTTGGCACTCCCCTGGGAAGCCCTTTTCAGCTGGAGCCTCTGACCCGTGCGGCCCTTGGACCCATCCAACCCCACAGATCCTGAGAAAAGCTTGTCCCAGATGGCTGCGCTTGGCGAGAAGTGCTCGTCCAAGCCCTGCTCAAGTGCAGCTCTGTTGCGTGCAAGGAAATAAACAGAGTAAGAACAGCCAGACTGGGTCAAGCCGGGCTCCGTTTGGCCCCAGAGAAGATGTGTGGGAAAGAGCTCAGGAACGGAGTTTGTACAGGAGGACTTCCTCCAAAACCCTCCCCCTGCCCTCGTCTAGCGGCCACCCCTTGTGAGCAGCAGCTTGGTAGCCGACTAAGCACTTTGGGATGGCCCTGGGGACCCGGTTTAGGGCCCGTCCCGTATATCTATCTAAGGCAGAGGTCCCTCAGTGCTAAAGGGCCAGGTGGCCTGGCAGAAGGACAAGGTGAATCTCCAGGCCAGCTGTAATGGTGGAAGTGATGGAGGAAGCACCGGTGACTTGGTGACTGCCTGGAGAGGAGTGCGGGGTTATTTCCCACCTAATGCAGGTTTTTTCACAAGTAGGGCCCTGCTCTTGGCAGATATTGACCAAAGGAGAGGATGGAAGGGAACAGGCAGCTTTGTGGGGTCACCTTGCTGCATGGTCTCTCTACCACAGTCCTCACTGATCTCGGCCCACTCTCCAGCCATGCTCTGCCCAGGAAAGCTGCCACCTCGCCAGGCAGTCCGAATGGAGGCCTGTGGCATGCAGGGCCACCCTTTAGGCAGGTTTTGTAAACAGTCAAATCACTTTTAAAACAGAATCGCATGCTAATTACGCCCCTAATCTCCTCAAGCACTGAGTAATCCAGCTTGGTTCCAGCTCGCAGTCTGCAAGGAATGTGCGGCATTCCAGTCCACTCGCTGTGCTGCTTACAAGCACCTGGGGATTTTAATTAAGCAATCAGATCACTGCCTTTTGCAACTTGGTTTATAAGGGCTGCATGAGCATCATCATTTGTCTGCCTCTTTCCACGCAAAATCCTCAACAAAGACGTCTCAGAAGACAATATCTGAGAGGTGTTTGCAGCCCTGGTCTGGCATGAGCATGGGCCAAAGGCAAGCGCTGGTCAACCTCTGGCTCTGGCTTGGTCCTCGCTGGTGGCTCCGATAGTCTGTGCTCAGGCTTGCCCAGGCTCCTTCCGCCCGTTCCTGCTGTGTTGTGCCAGCAATGACAAGTGGAGTGTGTGGTGGCGAGGCGCTGCAGTTAGCGACCGTGCAGGCGGTGAGGAGCGTGGTGCTCCGCTTTGCGGCGAGGGCAAGGGACAGCCTGGGAAGCGGGGGTAGCTCTGCTAAGCCATGCGGGGGGTTTCTGTCTACTTCACTGGTCCTGAGGCTGCTTGTAGCTTCGGTGGCCTCTTGGAGCCTGCTGAGGGGCTGCAGCGTGCATTCTGGTCTTGCACATGAGCTTGCATCTACCCTCAAGCAAGAACGTAGACGAGCCCCAGAGTAGCTGCCTCCTTCAGTTTCACCATGCTTGCCATGGGTGGTTCATGGCTACTCACTTGGCTCCCGGCACGGGTAAGTTGGAGAGACTGTTAAAGACCCAGTGTGACTCTGTCCTTGTGGAGCATGAGAGCCCAGCGGAGGTGGGAGATGAGGGTCACAGATGGCTGGTTTGAAAGAAGGAAATGCAGCAGATTCTGGCAAGGAAAGGGGAGCAGATACCAAAAGACCTCAGATCTGCCGCCTGTGAGTGCTTGAAGAGAATAAAGTGTCCTCAGTGCAATTAGATCTCAAAGAAAGGGGAGAAGCCTCCAGGCAAAGATCTGTGTTTCAAGCTGATTCCAGGTCCCATCCTGCTCTCAATATCTTGTCCAGGAGCCAAATCATAAACCTTCCATCTCATGCAATGGAGCTCTTGGCTTATGAAAGCCACCCCTGTGCAGAATCTGAACTGTATTCGCAATCATGTCACAAGTGTGGAAGCTGATGTGCCCATGCACATACCCCACCGCAGCCCTAGGGCCATAGGGATGCCCCGTGCCGACAGTGCAGAAGGGAAACACAGTAGCTACATTCAGGAGCTTCGGCGCTGAACCAGGTGTCCTGTACGGGCTGCTAAGGTTTGCCTGAGTGTTCAGGTCTCCTCAGGCTGTGAGTGTCACGACAGCCCGACACGAACACGTCGGCTCCTGCTGGCACTTGTGCTCCTGACGCATCTCCTGCTAAAGTCTCTGCTGTTGACCAGCCCTTTCCCACCACGCTTGGCAGCCAAGTCCTCTTTGAGCTCCGAGCAGGTCTTCCCCAGGAGGTTACTCATCTGAGCAGCTATCTTCTGCACGGCTGTAGCTGTTCCTTGGAGTTGTTAAGCCATTTTATACAGCTTAATTTTTTATATGGCTTAACAAATATTGCTTCCTGAGTGTCATCCTTTGGCCTTTATGGGTCCCGTAGGGCAGTGAGTGCCTCAGAACTGGAGTATTTTCTTCTCATGTGCTGGGACAGAGCCTGATTTTAGCTAGATAGCAGAGGGCAGGGTTTCTTGGTAGCATGATCACAACTGCAGGATTAACAGGGCCTCTGGCAAAGCCACCCCACGCAGCCAGCAGAGCCTGGGCGAGTCTGCAATACTGCTAGGCACAACTGCTTTCCCCAGGACATGCACGCTGGGAAAACAGCCTGCACTGCCTGTTCCCTCCCTTGCACCCAGCAAACTACAACCAGCAGGACTGGAGGCTGCCACCTCTTACCTGCAGTCACTCCTTTTCTGATCAAGGGAAAGCAGGGCTCTGCCAGGAGGCTGTGGCTATGGAAAATTCCAGTGTTCGAGGGCACACGAGGCCTCAAGGCCGCACGGGAGCGCAGGCCCCTCCAAGTCCATGTTTCATGCAAGCAACGCTGAACAAAGGGCTAATTTTATGAGTTTGACCTCATCTCCTTTTGGCCTGGCTCCGAGGACTTGGGAAGCAGAGGGAAGCAGTGTCTGTATATATTCTTGTCAACTTGCAATATTAAACACATGTGAACTTTCTAAAATAAAAACAACCCCCCGTCCCTCCTCCTTGCTCCATTTACTCTCTCGTTTGTTTTTCCCTCTGTCTGCTCTAATGTGTCTCTGAGTCAGCTCCACGGACCCCGGGTCAGCCTCATCCATGTTTCTTCTGTTCTCCTGTTCTCTTCTGCTCAGCTTTCCTGCTTTTATTTCCAGCGCTGCGTGTAGTGTCTCTGTTGTCCCCGAGGCTATATCTAAGAGCCTCTGCTTTGTCTAATCTCCCTCTCTTTCTCTTGTGCCTCCCCTCCTTCACTTTTTCCTCTTCTTCTCCTGATTAGCTGCAGCAGTTTTGTTCACCGAAAAACACGGCAGTGGTTTACTTTTTGCCTTGCCCTCAAATGATGTAGGAAAAAAAAAAAAAACTGTGGGAAATATTCGGCTTCAGAAACCAGAGCAAGAAGGAGGTGTCTCCTTGGACAAAGTTGGCTCTTGCTAACTTGTGATTCAGCTCCTGCAGGGCAGGAACAAGCCAAGACAGCTGTCTGTCTGTCTATGTTTTTTAAAAAACACCCTCTTTGTGCTTTGTCTCTTAGTTTTCAAATGTGCACTGTTTGGGGGGTTTCCCTGCACTCTGGAGAGGGAGGCACCCATGGTTGTTCCTGACGGCGCCTGAGCTTGGGAAGTCGCCCCCGGGCGCTGGAGATGTGCGCCACGGCCCCGAGTCGCTGAAGTGACACCCGAGGAGGTGCCTGAGCATGGGGCACCTGGGCCGGCACGTGGGCTGGAGCTGTGGGTCGAAGGCAGCCGCCAGGAAGTGTCTCTGGTGTTGCGATTGAGTTCGATGTCGCTGCTTGTCCACCTGCCTCCAAGCCTGTGCTGGCAACGCAGCTCATGGGCACATGGCACTGGGTTTCCCGCCTGAGGAGCGGGGAGGAGAGTCCAGAGCGCGATGGGAGAGCCCGGATGGGAGCCCCAGTGCAGTTGCAGCGGGAGGGCGGCGCGAGGGCACCGGGCAGGGCCAAGGCAGTGCCTGCTGTGGGGGCGCGAGGGCGCCGGGCAGGGCCAAAGCGTGTTCTGTGGGCCTGGTGGCAGCGCCACAGCGCCCGGTCCCTGGTGGGACGTCGGCCCCCCCAGGCAGTGCCCACAGACTGGAGCTGGGGACGGCAGCAGCGCGAGGGCCGCGGGCAGCCCGGCACTCCGCTCCTCTGGCCTCCACATGGCTCTGATTATGTTTATTTTCCTTCTCTTTCCATGGATGTACGTGGGTCACCTAGCAACTGCTCGGCCCCGCGTTTTTCCCTGCATTTCCCACTGGGATTTGACTCGGCTGTGAGGGCAGCGGGGCGGGCACGTGGCGCGGTGGCCTCCTGGGGCCCGCGGCTGCTGGCAGGAGGGACAAGGCTTGGTGCCCGCAGCCTGGCAGGATGTCTCATCCTGGGCATGCGCGTCGGGTTGGGCAGTGACGTTGCCGCCCCGGGAATCCCGTGCTTGGCCCTTGGCATTCTGGGTGCCAAAACGCGCTCGGGACCAGCCACCACCACCAGCTTGGCCGGGAGGAGAAGGAGACATCGCAGCCCCTGCCCTGGGGCCAGTTGATGGGACCTTGGCTTCCCAATTGGGGCAAAACTTGAAAATTACAAAATTATGGATTTTTTTGCCTGCAAAAGCAGGAGCAAGCCCGGGCACCCTGCTGTCCTCGCCCGCTTGGTGCCCTCTCACCCACCCAGGTAGCGTGCTGCAAACAGGCCTTCCTTCACAAACAACTGTTTTCATAGGGCCTAACGTGGAACCCCCCCCACCCGGTCTCCATGAGGGCGGGAGGAGAAGCACAGGCCTTGTCTCACCGTGGGTCCCCGGTCACAGCCACTCATGGGGGGGCTGCCCAAGGGGAGACCCATCGTAAACCCAACTCGAGGAAGTCCGGTGGCCCCAGACCCAGCCGTAACATAGCCGCGGCGAGGGGAAAAACAGCGTTGTTGGGAGAGGAGCCATTTTTCTGTGGGGAACGTCCAATAATTTACTATAAACAACAGTGAGGAGGAAACATTATTTGCTAAATGATGACAAATGTTCCTCTCCGCCGCCCGTGTGAAATCACCTCGCAAGCCGGCTGGGGCTCGTCCTGCCCCTTCCCTGCAAAGGGAAGAGCGCTGGGAACGGAGCGGCTCCCCCCGCCGCGCTGCGCCCGGGCCCCCCCCCGGGCATTACATCAGCAGTGATGACCAAGCACCGAGGCAGGAAACGAGCTCCGATCCAGTGACGTGATTCCCTCAAGGGAAGCCAGGCCAAAAAACAAGAAGGCATTGTTCTTCTTGGAAAAAGAAAGGGGAAAAAGGCAGGGGGAAATGCAAAAAAAAAAAAAAAAAAGAAAAAAAAAGGGAGGAAAAAATGGAGAAAAAAAGGAAGCTCCTGGTGCAAGAAGAGGCGCTGACCCAGCGGCCCTGAAGCTCTTGCTGCATCCACTGCAGAGATGGTGAACTGGGACAGGAGCTGGAGTGGCCAGGACAGGCGGCCAAGGGTTGTGGGAGAGGTTGGGACCTGCGTGAGGCTCCTCTTCAGCAGCCTGGGTCAGCATGGCCTGATCCCAAGAAGGCCCCCATTCACTGCTCTTCATCCTCCTGATGAGCAGGGCCTAAGAAGATTTAGGAGGAGGCACCTCGGTGGTCCCGGGAGGAGGCTTTGGCAATGGGAGACCGTGGGAGGTACACGGGCATCTCTGGAAGGAAAGACCCCTGTCCTGTGTGCCCTGTCCCAGGTTCAGGCGAGGCCCTTTTGCCCATGGGGGCTGAGGAACGCAGTGCTGGTCCAGTTGAGGGCTGTCACGGCCCGCGGAGCCAAGCAAGCCTCACCCACCCCCGCACTCCCCACAGCCTCTCCCGGCACCTTGCTGCGCTGCTGCTCCCTTGCCCAGCCCGGGAACAGGAACGGGAATGGGCAGCTGCTGCGGGACGAGGCCAGGCACGCAGCCATGCTGCGGTGAACCCCGCCGCCCAGCGAGCCCTCCTCAAAATACGGCAGCGTCTCCTCAGCAGGGGGATGTTCCCGTTCCTGGTGCTTGCTCTGCTGCTCGAGGGTGAGACCCGGCGAGGGTGAGACCCGGCGTGGGAGATGCTCAGCTGGGACATGGTTGGGTTTGCTGCTCTTGCATGAGCAACCTTCATGCCAGCTACGTGTGGGAAAGGTGAAAGGGAAGCAGCTCATGGGATACCCTCTTTCCCAGCGTTGTGTCACCGCCCATCCCTGCCTGCTGCTCAGGTGGGAGCTGATGGTGCAGCGAGTTCGGAATGGGGGACTCAACAACTCAGGCCCATCCGAAGGGCAGTGGGGCTGGCGCAGTCCCATTTAGTCATCTCCAGGAGGACAGGTTGAGCAACACAGCTCTTGAAAATGCAGGAGTTCACTTTGCCAACAGAAGCCGTGAGGTTGGGGCAGGGCTGAGAGGATATTCCATCTTCAGCTGAAACAGCAGAAATGTGGCTGGCACCAAAACCAGGCTCCCAGCGAGGTCCGGGCTGAGGCCGGCGTTGCTGGATCAGGCCCGCGCGCGAGGAGCCTGCAAGCAAAGAGCGGGCAAAGCGCCGCCTGTGCTGGGCCCCGTGCTCAGCACCACATCCTCCCTCCCGGCAGGCCTGCCCGACCTGGTGCCGGATCCCAACTACGTCCAGGCCTCCACCTATGTGCAGAGAGCGCATCTGTACTCGCTGCGCTGCGCCGCTGAGGAGAAGTGCCTGGCCAGGTAGGAGCGCGCCGGGACGAGCAGCTGCAGGGTTGGAGCACAGGGGGCTCAGTAGCAGCTTCTGCCTGCAGGGCTTCACCTGCTGGCCCGCCAAAAATAGCTGGTTTTAAGGTAGGTTGGTGTTACCATGCCCAAAAGCACGTTGCACCGCTCTGCTTGCAACCGAAGGGCACAGTGAGCTCGCTCAGGTCTCAGCAGCCCTGCTGCACATCCAGGACAAGCAGCAAATTCAGCAAATTTAGCACCGCGTAAACCGAAGAGCTTGGGGAAGCATCTGCTGATTCCTCAGGCTTGTCATGCACCGTGTATTCCCTCTCCCGCAAAGGGTGTAAAAAGGAGGGAAAATGCTTGTGCTCCACCTTTCCTGCTCGGAACAAGAGTGGAGACACTGAGGCCCGGAGGGAGCTGGCACCGGTGTGTGCTCATGGGCATGGCCAGATGGGTGAGAGGAGGAAAGAAAGTATGTGGGAAAATATAAATAACCAGACAGGCAAGCATGAAGGCAGTGATTCGGAAAACAAAGAAAAAGTGAAAAGGGAAGGAGTGGAGAGGAGAGGAGAGGAGAGGAGAGGGAAAAGTTGGTGTTTGGCAGGTGCAGGCTGGGCGGCAGGGAACATTTTTCTCCTTTTGTTGTTACTTTTTCATAATCTGTTTTTCCACTAAGGAAAAATCTCGGTACAGATTTATTTGCTGGGGATTTTTTCGCTCTTAACCCTGCCTGTCTGGGCCCTGCCGCCAGGCACTGCGGCGCTGTGGAGGAGCCAGCAGCTCCAGCCAGCTCTGGAGAGCGGCCGGCGCCTGCAGCCCGGCTGGCCTGGGGCTGTGCCCGGCGGCGCTCCAGGGAAACCTGGCATCCTGGCGCTGTCCTTCTAGGAGAGCAGCACTGGGGGAAATCCCGCCTCTGGGAGGAACACCAAGCTCTGCATGGGATGTCACGTTGGGATGGGGATGCTGCGAGAGGGGCAGCTGGGTAGAGTGGCCGAGGATGCCTTCCCTGTCCTGAAAGGCCATGACCGTCTCCCGTTTCCTTCCACTGCACCCAGTACTGCCTACACAGCCGAGGTCACCGACTACGACGTGCGGGTGCTGCTGCGCTTCCCGCAGCGTGTCAAGAACCAGGGCACGGCCGACTTCCTGCCCAGCCGTCCGCGGCACAGCTGGGAATGGCACAGCTGCCACCAGTGAGTGGGGCCGGGGGCACCGCGAGGGTCTCGGCGGGTGCTTGACTGGGTTGGGGCTCAGAGCCCCGAGCCCCCATGGACAGACTCATCTAGATGTCCCCATCCCACCTCTTCATGCTCATGCTCCCTCTAGCTGCCCTTTCAATGGCATTTTGGCAAAAAGGAAATGTCCCCTTCTCCATTTTTGTTCCTTCCTTCCCCTCTCTGCTGCTCCAAGATTTTTCATGCCCTTGCTTTGCCTCTCTTCTTGCTCTCTGCTCCAGTAACCACCAGGCTCCTTTGTGTGTGCCCCATGGGCTACCTCAAACATGGGCTCATGAGGGGCCAGGGCATGTGCAGCTGCTCCCAACTCCAACATCTTTCCAAAAACATGGCTGGGGAGAGAGAGGGCAGTGCTAGAATGCTATGCCAGGCACGGGCATCCTGACACCATCTGTCCCCCAGGCACTACCACAGCATGGACGAGTTCAGCCACTATGACCTCCTGGATGCCACCACAGGGAGGAAGGTGGCCGAGGGCCACAAGGCCAGCTTCTGCTTGGAGGACACGACCTGTGACTTCGGGAACCTGAAGCGCTACGCCTGCACGTCGCACACCCAGGTGGGCTGGGGGGAGCGGGGCCAAGAGGAGATGGACATACCCAGAGAGAGGCTACAGAAGAACCTTCTCGCTACTGAAGCCATCTGTGGTTGACCATCTCCATGGCTGACCATCTCCGTGGTCGATCGTCTCCATGGTCGAGCATCTCCACGGTCGAACACCGCCATGGTTGATCACCTCCATGGTTATCACCTCCATGGCTGACTACCTCCAGGGTTGATCACCTCCATGGCTGACCATCTCCATGGGTGATCACCTCCATGGCTGATCACCTCCAAAGTGCTGGAGATCCTCACAGGGTGCCCTGAGGCTCCTCAGCCTCCTAAGCCATTTTGCCTCTCTTCTTCCTGCAGGGCTTGAGCCCAGGGTGCTATGACACCTACAACGCCGACATTGACTGCCAGTGGATAGACATAACAGACGTGCAGCCAGGAAATTATGTCCTGAAGGTGAGCGCTGCAGCTCGCCGGGCCGTGACGGGGCATGGGGGAGGCACAGCTTGATTCCTGAGGACTGATTTGGGGTTGCTCTGGGTTCCTCTCAGCCAGCTGCTTTGTGGCCATCAACCTTAATTTTTGTATATATTCACACTCATGCTTGAGTCACCAGCCTAAATCCCCCTAATTTCCCTAATCCGAGGAAAATCCCTCGCCCATTTGGCAACAGCTGGTTTTACTTCTGGCCAAGGCAGGCAAAGAGAAAGGCTCCCATGTGACAGCCCCTCCGCTGCCCCGTAGTGGCTTGCCCTTCACTCCCTGTTCCCCAGAGGGGCATTATTTCTTCCATGGTTATTAATTTTGGATCATTAATTTCTCACTTTCCTCCTTTAGGTCCAAGTGAACCCCAAATACATTGTGCTGGAGTCTGACTTCACAAACAATGTGGTGAGGTGCAACATTCACTACACCGGCCGCTACGTTTCCACGACAAACTGCAAGATTTCCCAGTAAGGAAGTGGCCGAGCCTGTCACTCGGTCTGTCTCTCTGCTCTGGTGCCCCCTTTGCAGCACAAAACTATTCTCACCCTAAGCCATTTGGCTGTTTTTCTCCTCCCCTTGGCCAGGGTTTCTGTGCAAACCTCAAACAAAGCTTGGGACTGGATTTGGCAAACGGCTGGGGACAGGGGGTGGTGTTTTGTTCTGTTTCTTAATTTTTGGGTGTTTATGCTTAGTTTCCGGCAGTTTCTTGTTCTCGTGGCAAAACAGAGCAAAGCTGCTTTCGATGCAAATTTTCTGCGGCAAACCTCTGCCATGAGAACAGCTCGCAGCCCTTAATTGATGCAAAACCCAGCCCGTCAGCGCCTCTGCACGGCGCTGCTCACGCGCGCTCGGCCTTCTCCTTCTTGCAGATCTTGATCGGAGCAGGGCTGGAGGGAAGCCACGTGCCCCAGGCTCGCAGCTCTGCGCCGCGCTGGGACCGCGGGTGCCGTGGCCTCCCCTGCGCCGCGCAGGGCTCTCAGCTGCTCCTCCAGCCTGTGGCGCCTCGAGACCAGCGCCAGAATTCACTGCTTGGCGTCAGGAAAGAACGAGTGAAAGCAGAGTGGCTATTTGAAATATTTTTATACTTTACTTTTCTTTAATCTTTGTTGTTTTTGTTGTTTTCTGCTTCCTCGTGGAAGCTGATGAGGAATCTTAGCCGAAATAAAGGAAGCGTTGTTATGCGGCAAGAGGGCCGGGATGCTGTTGGGCACATTTAGCAGTAGAGATCTGTGTAGTCTAAACCAAGCCTGTCTGCGATCCTTGAGGAAGGGGGTCCCCAGTGATGCTACGGACCCCGTGCCACATCCTCGAGGTCAGCAAACAGCTTCCCAATCCCTCGTCTTCTGCTGGATGCTGGGGAGCTCCCGGCACCATCGCCGGGTGCTTGGCCCAAACGCAGCATCTGTTCCTGGCAACGGCAGTGTCGCGGTATGATGATTATTATGGCAGCAAGGCCGCAAGGGCAGGCGCTTTCGGGAATTCCCCGGTGCCAATCAAGGTGCTGCCTCTGCCAGCCAGAGCTCTGCCTTCCCGGCGCCGCCTCTGGCCGCAGTGGTGCTGGTGTAGCTAAGAGCCGAAGCTGCGGGGTGACTTAACGTGTATTTGATCACCTGGGCATCTAGCTGGCTGAACGGGGTGGGTTGCTCCTTCTGCTCTGTTTTTAAAACTGGGGAGCCCTTCACTTGACTGGAAATCTGTTTTTATTATTATTATTATTTTCACCAGCTTTAAAACCTGAAATCATTAAAACACGTTGCTCTTGGTGGTTTGTTTTTTGCCTGAGGCAAAGCCTTCCCAGGCAGCGTTCGGAGCCCCGGCATCAGCTCCACAGGGCGGAAGGGCAGGAGATGCTAAAACACAACAGGAGCAAGAGCCGAAGGGCCCAGCCAGGACCTGTTGCCTCCCCGTCTGGACAAGGGTGGCAGGGAGGTAACGGGGAGGGCAAACCTGGTGTTAGCCCCTCCGAGGGCTTGCAGGGGCTTCTCAGCTTTGGCTCACGAGGGACGTGGTTCATGGCAGAGTGGACCTGCAAAGAGCCACCGTGATGAACCGTGGTGGGGGTCTGGCTGCTGGGGAGGGCTGGCAGCGCTAAAGAAGGGGTAATGTGGTTATTCACCTGCAGCCCTCGCGCTCTCCGTGGGTCCTGGAGAGCAGCTCCCAGCCCAAGGTGGGACGGAGGGCACAGCCAGGGAGCTGGGCTGGCACTCGGGGCACGAGGAGGGATGCTGGAGTGTCCCGGAGCTCCAACCCGCACCTCCCGGCACAGGAGGGATGGATGCTGGGCAATAAGCGTCGGATAAGGCAGCAGGAGGAGCAGCCTTGCCCTTTGCCTCCGTGCCTTGCTGCGGCTGGTGGGGCGGTGGAAGCATCGCCCACGGGCTGCCACCCTGAGCAAAGGAGGCATCGGCTGAGTGGGGACAGAAAAACCTCCCTTCCTGGTGCTTGCTTGGGGGGACGGCGAGTCCCGCAGCATCCTGCACAGCTCCCACGTCCCTTGCAGAGGCCCCGGTGGTGACATGAAAACTGAGAGCCCGGGAAGCACCGCGAGTAAAAGAGCCCTTCCAAAACCCCTTTTTTTTTTTTTTTTTAAGTCTTTTTTTTTTAAGAAACTTGCAGGTAGCTTGCATATTTAAGACCTCCACCATCTGTCAAATTTGATGAAAGGCAAGCAACAGGTTCAAGAGCCATATGTGGGGGTACAGGAGACAGACTAACACAACCACATATGGATAATGTGAACTCATAAGCCATATTTCCATACAGCTCGGCCCCCGCGACGCATCCCCAGCACCCACGCGGAGAGCCGGGCTCAGCCCTGCTCCCTCAGGGGGCAGCTCGGCCCCAGCAGCGGTGCATGGGGAATTGAACCAGCTCTGCACCCATCGGCTCCGGGAGCCCCGAGCCCGCTCCACCCCACGGAGCCAGCGCTGGGAACACACTGGCTTGGCTGGGCTTCTTTGCGCAAACATCGTGGTCCCCTGCTCCGGGGCTGGGGGCATCCCGGGGCTGGGGGCATCCCAGTGCCAGCTGCTGCCCCCACAAGCCCAGCTCCCATCCTGCCCCAGCCCTGGATGCACCTGGGATTCCCCAGGCACCTGGATGCTTCCAAACCCATTTCTGACAGCTCGCAAGGAGCCAGGAGTTGCAGAGCTGGCGCCTGCCAAGGTGCCAAGCCACAGCCTGGATATCCATAGAGGGAAAGGGAAGAGCAGAGGTGCTGCAGTAAACACCCCCCTCACTTCTCAGGCCCACGAGCTGGGATGTGCTAACTGGGAAGTGCCCGCTAGGAAGCACCTTGGCTGCTTCCTGCTCAGCACCAGCAACCCATGGGAGCTGGGAAAACCAAGAGAGCCAGGCTTCCATGGCCCTGCCTGAGCCATGCCCAGGTTAGAGGTATCCTGGGGTCCAGTAGCTTTTCCCAGTGCTTTAAACCCAGAGCTCCCCTGGATTTGCCCCTTGGGGCTAGGAACCCTGCCACAGGGCTGGGTGCAGCTGCAGGAGAGCCAGCATGCGCATGAGGGCAGCAGAGCCTAGCGCCAAGCGCTGTCCCCTCGCCCTCGGTGTCCAGGATGGGACGGGCATAGAGGGCATGCAGGTGGCCGCAGCAGAGCTCTGCCAGGCCCATGTGGCTGCGTACAGGGCAGCGGAGTCTCACTTTGGGGTCCCTCGAGTGTCCCTTGCATAGGCTGCTCCCAAGCCCTCCCTCAATGGCTGCACCAAAACGCCAGCGTGTACTTTCCTTCTCCCCACTACTCCATTCAGACCCGGAGAAAGCAGACACAGGGTTTTCCTTTCCACGTTTTATTCCTGCCCTCTGCCCGGACTCAGGCCACGGCGGAGGAGCGGGCATACCTCCTGCGCGCGACCGCAGCAGCCAGGGCCGCGACGGCCACCGCCACAGCTGCTGCCACAGAGATCAGCCCCATGCCCAGGCCGGACGCTGCCGCGGCACCTGCAAAACCAGGGCAGGACGTCAAAGCGGGTCACGGGAGCCTCTGAGCAGCGCTGCAGCCAGAGCGGGACCTACCACGTCCTCCTTCCTTCCACTCTCCCAAGGAGCCCATTGCACCTGAGTCTGCAGTGAGGAGCAGGGGTCCGATGACCACATCAGCTTCCCCCTCTTT